GGGGGGGGGGGGGGGGGGGTGGGGGGGGGGGGGGGGGGGGGGTCGTAGTAGCGCCAAAACTTGCATTTTTCCCTTGGAGCCCCCAGTCCCCACCCCGATCTTACAATCCAGCGAGATAAGGGCGTGGAGGGAGGGACTGTTGGCTTTTTTGTTGCGCGGTCACCACGGGGGTTGGAAAATTGCGATTCGCGCGGTCTCGGCGAAAGGCCTGGGAGGTCTTTAGCTCGACCGCTTTTTTTGCCTAACGAAACGATTCTGCGCCACGCCGAGTGAGTACTTAAAATTCAACGGATTCCTACCTGCGCCCCTTCCCTCACGCAATTGCACAAATTAACTGCCCTTACTTTGTATACTCGTCTTAACCGCTTTTTCTGCAGCCGATTTCCGTCTTTCGCTTACGAAATCTCGGCGTAATGTTTTTGCAGCCCCGGCTAATCATTCAAAAGCAAATGATGCCATTCCACGCTTTTTCACCATAAATCATTTCAATTAACGACTGGACTTTTTCACCTTAACGACGATAAGTTCTAATTAAAGCTTTTCTCCCTCCTCGTTCTGCATTCTATGTAGCAGAGAGTCCAAGGACTCTGCGGAGGCTGCCAAACCTTTTTCTCATCGTATCATTCCTTTTCATTCCTTTTCTTTTGAAAAATGACACTTTTACACACTTGTAGAAGGTTTTTATCTTTATTTTATTTCTTCATTTCACAACACCTTGACGGCGGGCAGGACGAGGAGGAGGAGCAGGGGGACACGCTTCCTACGGTTACACTTTTATATAAATTGTCGTATAAAATAATCCGTTATAGATTTACAATTTGCGCGTCTGAAAAATAATGTCGAACGCGATAATACATTATTACACTTATTTTCGCATGAGGGCATGAAATTCGCATGGGTTATTTGCTAAAGCGTGGATTGCAATTATGGATAATGTCGATCATTACTGACATTTAGCATAATGTAAAAACTCTATAATGGCTCATAATAATATAAATGTGGCCTTAAATTTAAGGTAAGTTTTACCCCATCACATTATAATAATAATGATAATTCGATGCTCGATCATTCGTCTCTTACTCTCGACCAACATATCCCTAACGACTCTTCACGAAGTCGTAAAAAAATATCTGCTTATTATTACAAATTACTGAGTGCTGGAAATGTAGGTACGCGTGCAAACCGACCGATACAGCATACAATTATATCATTGTATAGGAATTATGCAATAGCCATAATTTCCCAATACGGTTTCTAATGCAAAGTCTTGAATCCTTAGTAAAAGTCCCACGTAAAAGCTTTAAGAAAAACAAAAACAAAAAAAAACAAATATTTATGACCATCTTCAATTTGCCTTCTTTCTTCACTACGCTGTCATATTGATTATTATAGTGACCAAATGTTATATTGCACAATTATTATGGTTTATTGGTAATATACGCCTATCATAAAAACCTTGAAAAACGTCAAAACGTATGAAAAGAAAATACGAAAACTGCATTTTCCGATAATAAGAATTTAGATACTTTGAAATAAATATCGTGGATGGAAAAATTGGGAATATTACTTTTTAGGGTTTCAAAAGTACTGGTAAGCTGCTTTGTTAGGTGGTGCGGTTCAGGTTGCGGTTCAGGTACTTTGACTATTATTTTGAAAAATTGGAGTAATAAAAAGACGAATACATTGTAAACAATTGGGAGCAGGGAGCAAGCGCACGACGAAGCGCAAGAAAATTTTCTTTACGAGAGAAAAAAAAAAGAGATACTTTTTGCGAAGGCAGAGAAAAATCAGTCATGCGATTGTGTAGAAGGAGAACAGAAGGAAGATGATGAAGGAGGAGATGAGGATAGAGGACAGTTTCTAAGGAGAGAAAGAGAAGAGATTGTAACGGGGCAAGGATAAGGAGCGTGAGCGCAATAGAGAGCGAGGGATAGAGCCGAGTTTAGCGGCCACACACGAAGCTGCAGTTGTGTAGGTTGAAGGAGAGAAGAACGAAGGTTGCCGTAGGTAAGAGGAAGAAAGGGATCGAAGAGCTTACGCGCGCGTGAGCGAGCGAGACGAGGAGTTCTCGGGCACACGGACGCGCGCGCCCCCGTGGATTTGTGAGGGAAAGACGCAGAGAGTGTAAAAGAAGGGGAAACGGGAGAGCGAGAGGGCAAGAGAGAGAGAGAGAGAGAGAGAGAGAGAGTGAGAGAGAGTGAGAGAGAGTGAGAGACGACGACAACGACGAAGAGGAGGACATTGGAGCCCGCAGGGCCTCTGCCTGTTCTGGACCACCCAGCTTGACTTTGACTAGAAACTCTCGTTTCCCTCCCGCCCCTCCCCACGCCGGTTCACCGACTTGGCAGCTACGGCGCGAGATAGCGTCGTCGCCCGCGGATCCACGTTTCCTTCGCTTTTCTAGCCTTGGAGAAAAACGCGGACCACTGTTCTCCCCCACTCCCATATCTTCATCGTCCTCACACCCTGATCGTCGTTTTCACGAATGGTGTTGGAATAATGTGACGCTTGCCTGGACGAGTGCGCGTTATTACTTGAGCGCATCAGTGCATCTCGATCACGATCCGATTGGATTTCGTAACAACTGTCAGCTGACTTTCAAAGTCCTCCACTTTCCACTGGCGATATGCGTAATGAGAATCACCGCACCTAATGGGCCGAATTATAAATCGGGGGGGGGGGGGTCAG